TAAGCCCCTTTGCAAAGGTCGAAGTTTCTCTCAAATTCAGGGATCAGGTTATCAGCTCCATGCCAAACTTGCAATGGTTGAGTCTGGAGGCTACAAATTCATGGGAACATCATCCAGTTGTTCAAAGAAATGGAGCCAATTCTTGTTATCAATCCTTTTTTTAAACGGACAACCCCTCCCCCAGTTTGCACCACTCAATACGTTCATTTCTCCTCAGGAAGCAGGATGCTGAGCTCGAGAGCCTCTGCTTGAGAGCGTTGCATGGTTAATCTGTGGCTCAACATTTGGGTTTTCCTATTTGTCGGCATCTTAGCCTCCAGCCAGCTTGTGGCTATGACGTAGTCTTGTGTAGACCATCTGTAGTACATTCTGTACCAGTCCTCTAGATAGGGAATTGGAGGACTGCGTAAACATAACAAAATGCTGGCTTTTGCTCTAGGTATGCTACCATTGAGCTGCTTTTTATGCTTTTGTATTCAATTCTTTCATAATTGAGATATAATCATTAACGACTCTATTAAATGTGGGCTTTGTATATTTTAACTTACATTCCCCAACAGGTCATGTCCCCAGCTTACACCTGCCTCACTCAGTGGGCCCAATTGTACTTTTCTTATATTTGATGACATTATTTCACAAATCTTAGTTGGCCGTAGAAAGTTTCTTGTGTTTTTTCTTTACTAGTCAAAAAAGCATCAATGGAACACTGAGGGAATCAATATGACAAGTTCAGAATTTTAAATATTTGGGATGGTCCTACATGCTATTGGCATTTAGAAAACCCATATAGCTTATGCGAAGGAGCTCTTTCATAGCCAAGGCAAGAAACCTATTTCCTGCAGTGCTGAAATTGTTTGAGTTTATAGCCCACATATTTTACAACCACATTGTTCCGATGGATTTAATAAGTTTGTGATGTCAGTATGTGAATACGGTTGAATTCATAGGTTTTCACACCCTTTGCAGAATTTGCAAAAGGGGCACAATTTTCTAAGAAAATCATGATCACGCAACATGTTTTTAAAAATTGTAATGTGATTCAAATATTAATGTTCATAAGTTAGGACATTAAACAAACCATCACAATAAAAGAAATAGTAAAATAGTTCTGTTCCCAAGTTTCCATATCCTTGAAGGTTTCAGCTGATAATACAGTGTACATTCACAGGTTGAATGGGCAATAAAAAGTATTTACACCTGTGTGTAAATGTCATCCAGGGTTGCAGTGTTTACTGGCTACATTTACATTAGATTTTTAGGTGGGTTTTGAAACTGCCATTTGTTCAGTAGGATTTAGCACATTCTGCATTTAAAAACTTTCTTCCGAGTGTAAAGTTTATAATTTTTACTGAATCATATTTTGACAACTTTTTCCATACTCCCATGAATGTTTAAGGATTTCCCCCCAGGTGAATTCTTTGATGACTTCTGAGATTTCTGATTGTTGTGAAGGATTCTCCACACTCCAGGCATTTATATGGTTTTTCTCCTGCATGGATTTTTTGATGTCTACAAAGCTGTCCCTTCTGACTGAAGCTCTTTCCACACTCCAAGCATTTGTAAGGTTTTTCTCCAGTGTGAATCATTTGATGTCGACGGAGGTGTCCACCCTCAGTAAAGCTCTTTCCACACTCCAGGCATTTATACGGTTTTTCTCCAGTGTGGACACTTTGATGTCGATCAAGCTGCTCCTTCTGACTGAAGCTCTTTCCACATTCCAGGCATTGATATGGTTTTTCTCCAGTGTGGATTCTTTGATGGCGACGGAGCTGTCCACTCATAGTAAAGCTCTTTCCACACTCCAAACAGATAAATGGTTTTTCTCCATTGTGGATCCTTTGATGGTCATGGAGCTGTCCACCTTCAGTAAAGCTCTTTCCACACTCCAGGCACTTATACGGTTTTTCTCCTGCGTGGATTTTTTGATGTGTATACAAATGTCCACTCAGAGTGAAGCTCTTTCCACACTCCAGGCATTTATATGGCTTTTCTCCTGAATGGAATCTTTGATGTGTATGAAGGTTGCCCACCTCATTGAAGCTCTTTCCACATTCCATGCATTTGTATGGTTTTTCTCCAGTGTGGATCCTTTGATGCCTATGAAGGCTTCCCCTCTGACTGAAGCTCTTTCCACATTCCAGGCATGTATAAGGTTTCTCTCCCGAGTGGGTCCTTAGATGGATTTCAAGATAGTCATTTCTTTGGAAGGATTTTTCACATTCCGGGCACTGATATTCTGATTCTCCCTCCTGGATCCTTCGGGGCTTCCGGGATCTTCCGAGGGACCCTCCGGCCTCCAAGCACGTCTCGGGGTCTCCGCTCGTTTCCTTCTCCCGGCATTGTCCTCTGGGCCGCCCCCTTTTCCGGGGTCCACCTGGACTCATCCCTCCTGCAATCGCGGAGCCTCCCGGCCTTTCCCCACCGTCTGCCGTGGAAGTTGCTTCGGTAACCGCCAGGGCTGCTCCGCGGGGCCTGCTCTCCTCCTCAACCTCCTCCTCTCGGGCGGAGTTTCCTTCCCTCGCCGGGCTCCTCCATCCTCCTGAGGGGGAGAAAGAGAGGCGGTTCACGGCTGTGTCCCCTTCACGGCAGGGGAGTCCTAAACCGAAATCTCCGCCTCTCACGGTCCTTCCGGGGAGGCCCGAGGCGGATACAGCCTCCACTTCAGAGCGCCAGGCCAGGCCTCCGGCTCCCTTCTGCGGGAAAGTTCCCCCTCAGACGTCTCCGACCCCGTCGGCAAACAGAATCCATTAATCGCCTCAGACGTCTATTTGAGCCCGGAAGTGAAGGCGGGACCTCGTTGCGCGCCCTTTCCTAGAAGCTCCTCCTGTTCCTCTTTAGGGACCGCCCCAAGAAGTCCACCTGCCAATCCCCTGCCGCCGTCAGCGTCGTCCTTCCTCAGTCAGGCAGATGGCGCCTGCGCGGTGCCGAGGACCGTCTTGGTGCGCTCTTCTCCCCCATCCCCGCAATTCAGTCCTGCGGAGGTTCTTCTGGTGCCGCCGCTCTTCTGCTCACCCTCACCCGGGGTTTCTCCCTAGGCAAGGCGGGTGGGGGGCATCCAGGCAGCCGGAGCCGAGGGTCCCTTCTGGGGCTGCGTCTCTGCCCCTCCCTCCCCATCCGGGGAGTCTCTCCCTTGGCAAGGGGGGGCCTTCGGGGTGGGGGGCAGCCAGGCAGAAGAGATGCCTGTCATTATAAACCTCGTTTTCCAAAATTGTCCCTTTGATCTTTTTTTCCCCTCTGGCAGGATGTTCCTTTCAATGTCTCCCCGCTTTTTGCCACTTTTTTCTTAACAAGTGAGCACAAACCGACCGCCAGACTCCCTGCAATCTTTTTCATTTTCTAAGCATGCCATTTGGGACAGATTCATTCAGAACCGGGCCATGGAAGCAGTGATTTACTTAACAAGTGTGCAAGACAAGTCATAAAATGGGGCAAAACTCAATAAACAAACTTAGCAACAGAAATATTGGGCTCAGTTGTGATTTGCAGTTATTCCTGAAAACATCGTGCAGCTTCAGAATGTCATCGGTTTAGGAAGGACACCACCGTCTGCCCCTTAGTGGCATTTGTAAGTTCCAGGTTTCATAGAATTTTGAGTAAAAGATTGAGTTAAGAATGGAACTCAGTCTTAACCCAGACTGGTTTGTTTGTTTATTTGCACATGTTTGGTCTAGTGATTAAGGCACCAAAGTTAGAAAGCAGGAGCCCAATCCCACCTCACAGGGTTGTGGTTGTGAGGAAAGTAGGAGAAAGATCGACTGCATATGTTAACTGTCTTTAGTTATTTGCAAAAATAATAAAGGTTGAACATAAATATCTTTTGCAAGTTCCAATAAGCTAAATACATTTAGAATCCAGAGTATTTACAGAAATATCAAGGTTAACAGTATTTTTTTTAAAGTAACTTCATAATTTTCTCTAGCCTTCCTAAAATTCAGAATGAGGTAGCTACCGTAGTATTGTAAAGCATTCATAAAAAGGGGAAATCCTTCAAATATCTAGGAATATTATTAAAAATCAACCAAATATTTAATAATTTCTTCCCTACGTGGAAAAAATAAGGAAATAAAGATTCATGCTATTGTCACCACAGGTGTTGCATGGGTGCTACTGGAGCTGCAATAGCGCGAGTGGGGTTGTGCAGGCAAACTAGCCAGTCATTCACATGGTCCAGTGGCCAACAGGCCATGGCCTGGTATGGTCAGAGGCACAAAGGTTCAGGACCTCTAATCTAGACTCCTTGTTTTCAGCTGTTTAAGTCTCACATGTAATCAGTATCTTTGTTTGATCACTTGCTTCCAGGCATATCAAATATAC